AAAAAAAAAAAAAAAAAACAAAACAAAACAAAAAAACAAAAAACAAAAAACAAGAAAACCCCCAACCAAACACCTAGAATTGCTAAATGCTAAGCTCCTAGCAGCAAGTTGGTGATGGACCATATGCGGATGAGTGGAAATCCCAGAACTCCCTTCCTGGAAGTTGAGCCTGCTGCTGGGAAGGCCAGGTTACAAGGGTGCAGTTCCAGTGTTGCCTGTCATACCTGGAGGCTCCAGGAGGAAAGTAGAGCCTGTCACCTGGCAGTCATGCCCAGTACACTTGTGGGCAGTGCTTGGCTCCCTGCCCTTTGAGAGGGACTCAGCCACATGGATTCCAGCAGAGACCAGTGCCATCTGTCCCTTGGAGTGACTCTCCAGCTGCGTCAAGGCAGCGGCGGGAGGGCTGGCTATATAACTGGGCCCCATGACCTGCAACAGCCCACAGCCCAGGGGTGGAGCCAGCATCAGAAAGCAGGGGATGGCAACAGCTGCCAATACCCCTTCCCAGTCACTGGTGGCAGATAGCGCTTGCAACTCACTCCTCAGCAGCAAGGGGGAGCAGCTGTGTTACTTCCTCCTGGACCATCCGCCTGTGGTCCCCATCTCAGCCAGCTCCCCCAAAGCCCCTCCCTCCAGATCTACCACACAGGCGGTCTGAGGCCACACCGCCAGGAAGAGTTTGCCTGGGACTTGCACCCAGCCCCAATGGCCACCAGGGTTCTCAGTACCTCACCAGTTCCTTGTGGCATGAAGTGGCTGGTGTCTGGCATGTGCCAAGTGTGCCCACTGTGCTGGTGGGAGGAACCCATGGCACAGGAGTCCTTAGGAGGAAGCAGGACCCTGGTATGGGTGTCTGTTTCCCAAGCATCCTGTACGAGCCTGATACAGGGTGGGGCACTAGTGTGTAAAGGCCATGGCCACTGGGCACTAGTGGGCAGCCAGTGCCCACTGCTCACTCGGCAGGCAGTGTGCCAAACCCTGGTGCCATCATGAAGGCTGTCTTGTCTCTGTGGCTCATCATGCCATGTGGGCACCTGCCCAGGGACCCATGGAGAGCAGGAGGACGTGTGTTGGGACAGAGGGGATGGCAGCAAGGGCGGAGACACAGAGGAGGTAGGGATAGGGCACTGGGCGGAGGTGGGGCCCACAGTGTCCCTCCACCCCAGTTGTCAGGACTGCGCTGCTCCCCAGCATTTCTGAGTGAAGAGGGCACCCATGACAGCCACACACTGTTTATTGAGAAAAGAGGCCAGGGAGGCCCGTCCCTCAGGCCTGGATGTGGCTCTTGGCGCTGAAGGCCAGGTAGTAGATGATGAGGCCGATCACCACAGCCAGCACCTCGGTGGAGACCCAGGGCCCGTTCCAGGTGCCCTGAAAGGAAAGGGACCAAAAGCTGCCTCAGGGGCGAGCACCAGCCAGCTTGCTGCTCACCCTCGGGGGCATGGAGACACGCAGGCCAAGCTGGGGGAGATGGCACATGCCTGAAAGGCTGAGGCAGGAGAATCACAAGTTCAAGGCCAGCCTGGGCCACCTAGCAAGACTTGACTCCAAATTACAAAAAAGAAAAACAACTAGGGATACGGCTCAGGGCAAACATGAGACAAGCATGGCAGCACCGAGGCTGCAGGGAACAAGCCCTCCTCTCACCCGATGGTCCACGCTGACCGTGAAGAGCGGTGGGATGATGGAGATGTCCTCGTTGTTTCTCTGTGCCTGCACAGGAAGGACCAGGTAAGGGGTGCTGGGCGCGTGGGGCTGCAGAAGTGGCACACACCCTCCCTCCTGGGGCTCACTTGCCTTCCTCAGGAGGCTGTAGGACTCCTCGTCGAAGAACCTGACCTCATAGGTGCCTGCGTGAGCACTCTTGTGGTCCAGGCTCCAGGACACCTGGGTGGATGGGTGTGGCAGGAGGTGGCGCTTCAGGTCCTGCTTGTACACAGGCAGCTCCCCCGACCCCAGTCCCGACCTCCCTTACCTGGTAGCGGCCCACGTCCTGGCCCCGGGTGACAGGGAACTGCTTGCCACTGACATCGGCATAAAGAGCCATATTCTGCTGAGGGTATGAAGGGCAAGTCACTGTCGCCCCTTGGCAGCTGTGGGGGAGAGGCTCCACCATGCTGCCCACGGCAGGCCAAGGCTGCAGGCAGTGGGGCCAGGCCCAGCGGGGCCACAATGTCCAGCAGGAGCCCCATATCTGTCTCCCTGGTGGAAAGGCCAGACACCCCTACGGCCTGGCCTCACCTCTCCCATGGCAAGCTTGTTAACTGTGCACAGCGGAGGCAGGATGGAAAGTCCCCATCATGCTTAGAGCCTGCAAGGGAGGACCTGGGGCCATAGGTGCCACACAAACTGCCCAAGGAGCATGGGACCCCACAGAGGTCCAGCTTCCTTCTTTGTCCTTCAGGGAATGCAGGCCTGAGATCAAGACCGGATTCTGTCTTCTTTTATTTTTTTTGAGACAGAGTCTCGCTATGTAGCCCAGGCTGGCCTCAAACTCAAAGCGATCCTCCTGCTTCAGCCTCCTGAGGGATGGGATTATAGACATGTGCCACCATGTCCAGCTCTAGGACTCTCAATTTTGACTTTATCTTTGAGACATAGTCAGGCTGGCCTCACACTCCTGACCCTCCTGCCTCAATCTCCTGAGTGCTGAAGTGACAGACTTGTCACCATGCCTGGCCAGGGCTTCTCAATCTGCAACTTACACATATACCAACAAATACTCCTGCAAACAACAACCAGAAAAGGGATGGAGGCACTTGGAGGGCTGAGCGTGGCCCTTTCAGTTCCAGACATCCATTCAGCAAACGGGGGATGGGGGTCCACCCCCATGACTGCACACAGGCCAGGAAAATGCTTGTGAAGCTGGATGTGGTGGCGCACACCTGTCATCCCAGCACTTGGGAGGCTGAGGCAGGAGGATCGCCACGAGTTCAAGGCCAGCCTGGGCTACATTATAAGTTCAAGGCCAGTCTAGAATACATAACTAGACCCTGCCTCAAAAAACGGACAACCAAAAAAAGAGAAAATGCTGGTAAAGCACTTCATAGGACCTGCTTTCTCCTGCACCCGTAAATTGGAGTCCCATTCTCCCTGTTGCACTGTGCCCCCTGCCTCCCAGATGCACCCCCCCCAGGTCACCTGGACCCTGTTCTTGCACATCAGCGAGATCTCCACGATGAAGACAGTCTCGGTCGAAATGACGGCATCTGAAGTGGTATAGTAGGAGGGGGTGATCTGGGGCTCCACACAGGCCTCTGCTGGGGGAGGAGGAGGCACTTGGAGGTCGGCGGAAGAGGGGTGATGGGCACAAAGGGGGCAAGGGAGGGACAGGGAGGGCGTGCAGAGGCAAGACTTGACCCGAGGGCGAGGGACAAGGAAGTGGGTGTTTGGGGGCACACACACGTGTCAGTGCCCTGGCCTCGTGACGGGGAGGCCACGCCACCTCTGTCCAGAGCCAGGCAATGCCTAGGCAGCTCACTGAGGACATCTTTGGCAAGGATGCCAAGGCGGGTGCTGGGAGAAGGCTCTGTCCCCAGCCAGCTGACAGGAGACCAGGCCGGGTCTCAGGGCTTCCCACGGATGCACAGCTGTGCCTGAACAGGAGCACCCCTGAGCTCCAGGGCCTGGCCTCAGCCAGCTCCGCCTCCATGGCAGAGTTCTCAGTGAACGCTTGCCCTGGGAGAGTGGTGGCTGTGTGTCCTGACAGCGGCAGGATGGGTCTGGGAAGGGTAGCAGGAGGACGGGTTTGACAGCCAAGCTTGTGCTTTCAGGACACCTCTGGCTGCAACCTGGGCCAGGTGGGAAGTGCCCGGGAAAGTGTCGGTGAAGTCAGCTCCTGCCCAGCCCTGATCCGATGGTGACAACCTCGTCAACAACCTCTGGACCCCAGGCCGACCCGGTTGCCACCACCAGGTGTTAGGCGTTCCTGGTAAATTGGAGTCAGGGGTCCTGTGGCTCAGTCCTGCGGAGAGCTCGGGACAGATGCATCAGGGCCTCAGGGAAAATGCAGTGCAGCCTGGCACTCAAGGCCCCCGCTCACCAGCAGCTTCCTAAATCGCCCCCTGCTCCTGCGCTCTGGCCTTCTGCCTGGACACCCCCTGCTCGGTCTGCCACTCCGCCTTCACTTTTCCCGGGAGCCCTGGCCTGCACTGCACCACTCAGCCGGCCTTTTCTAACCGTCGCTG